GAGCGCGGGGCTGGATGCATTTGGAAATTTGGTGATGCAGCCTGGCCCCCATAGCGGCCTGTTGGCCCTTCACCTGCAAGGCCACGGGGGAATCGTTCATTCCCTGTGGCGTCCTCCGCGGTGGGACCGAGGTGTGGTGACGGTGGATCATGGCTAGAAAGTTAATCGTTTTGGGGGAGCTGTGATGGATGAGTGGACCACTGTGGAGCGGTCCCAGGGTTCCTGCTGTAACTCGGCTCACTCGCCAAGGGGCTTCCGCCTCTGCTTTCTCCCTCCCTGTGGGTCTGCTGCTGCACCAGGTGTTCACAAGTCTCTTAACAAGCCAGCACGTGGGAGTGGTTAATGTGGGACAGTGGAAGAGCCACAGGCACCTCTAACAGTGCCACTTAGGTGGGGGCGCAGGAGGACCCGAGGCTCGAGGTCCGGATGGCGGGGCGAGAGCCCTGCACCCTGTGTGAATGGCTTGTAGGGGCATCTCTCAGGATCTTCCCTAGGAGATGAAGCCGGGGAAGTGAGATAAGAGTGGAGTGGGGAAACACCGAGGGCATGAGGACTGTGAAATAAGTGCAAAGGCTCTGAATGCAGGGCATGCTTTCTAGTTGGAACATACTGGCGAGCTCTCTCTCTCTCTCTCTCTCTCTCTCTCTCTCTCTCTCTCTCTCTCTCTCTCTGTGAGACGGAGGTGGTTGTTGGGGGAAATTTGATGTCGGATGTTCAGTTGGGCCCCAAAGAGAAGATGGTGCCGGAGGGGCCGGAGTGAACCAAGGTCATGAATGGGAAGCCATATAGCCTTTGCTTTACCGGAAGGGAAACGTGGAGAGATGGTCTTTAAAAACGACTGGGATTCTGGGGGTGAGTGGAAGCAAATCAGAAAACCCAGCTGCTGCAGCCGAGCTGGAGAGGTGAGGTGGCCTCGCTGAAGGCCGTGTGACCCAGGCTGCCCGCCTGGCATCCCATGTCCCCCCCTCCCCCAAAGCTCTTTGCCTTTCCTCAGACTCATGTTTGCTTAATTCCTAGTGTCCAGTTAAGAGAAGGAGAAAGGGTGAACCTTAAAGATGATACATTAAGGCAAGAAGGATATTGCCTGCAGATGCAGGGGGTGGGGGTGGGTGGGAGTGGCGGTGTCGTTGAGAGGCCTGAAGCAGAACCCTGTTAATGCCATTTTCCTTGTAGCTAAGATCCTAATCCCCCCCGCCCCCCCCCCCCAAAAAAAACCTCAACAGGTCTCTTAGTACATACACTGTATTGTTAAATATATGTGTGTGACATTCACAACTCTTCACAATTCAGTGCCCACCTACCTCTATCCTCCATTGGCACCTGCCCCCCCCCCCATATTACCGGCTCATTCCTGCAGCAGACAGCTCCCCATTCCCAGATGTGACAGACGTTCTTCCATGTGTGTCGCCGTCAGGTTGAAGGTCATGAGTGTTGGGCTTCCCTCTCCTGTTCCCGATGATTTTCTCCAAATCCAGCCCGCTGACAGAGCACCCAGTAGAAGTCTTCCCGGACCTCGCAGTCAGATCATTCTCATCCTCATGGGACGTGTGTCCTCGGGTGACTCACATCTTTGGGTTGCCTGGTGATAGCTGGATGTTTATCTTTCTCCCTTCAAACGGAAGCCCCTTGAGGGCAATGACTTCCTGCCCCTTCCTTCATGCCTATTCGATGCCAAAGGATGTTTCCCTGGAAAACATGAGTAAATGAAGGAATGAATGAAAGAATTGATTGCTTTCCTTTTTTATTAAAGTCTTGCAGACCTCTGAGGATTCATTGCAGTTGTGTATCTAAAGCATCTAGTCCGTGACAGACTGGAACCTTTCCTTTTGCTTCTGGGTGGTGAAGAGACCCTAAAAAGATCTATCAAGGTGTCTGGTACAAAGACATTCATTAAAAGTTTCTTGCATTGCCTGGCTGGAGTGACTCTGTGGTTGAGCGTCAACCGATGAACCAGGAGATCACGGTTCAATTTCTGGTCAGGGCACATGCCCGGGTTGTGGGCTTGATCTCCGGTGTCGGGTGTGCAGAAGGCAGCCTATCGATGATTCTTTCTCATCATTGATGTTTCTATCTCTCTCTCCCTCTCCCTTCTTCTCTTAAAACAATAAAAAGAAATAAAAATATTTCTTGACTAGATTCCTGGCCAGCCTAAAATTTCAAACTCTGTAGACAGGGTATGGAATGGATTCATCTCAAGTGGATAATTGGTGACTGGTCATGCTCTTGGACCTAAGCAACACCTCATTGTGAAGGTGCTATGTGATTTCTAGAAAACAGCACTACAAAGGCCGTCCTGTTATTTGGATTAAAATGTAGCATATAGACGTGCAAGACAGATCAGACTCAGCTTTCCCCTAAGGCACTGCAATTTTAAAAAATATATATTTTTATTGATTTCAGAGAGGAAGGGAGAGGGAGTGAGAGATAGAAACATCAATGATGAGAGAGAATCATTGGCTGCCTCCTGCATGCCCCACACTGGGGATTGAGCCCACAACCCGGGTATGTGCCCTTGGCTGGAATCGAACCTGGGACTCTTCAGTCCGCAGGCCAACGGTCTATCCACTGAACCAAACCGGCTAGGGCGGCATTGCAATTTCATAGTCTCTCACTTGTCTTTTACTAGTAATTGGACACTTTTTCATGCTTTTTATGTGATGGCGACACTTCCTGTTGACTGAACATCTATATGTTAGACAATTTGCATGCATTGCCTCTATCTGGTGATTGACATGTTATTACCTCCATCCTAAACACGGGGAAACTGGGACTCAGAGAGAACCTTGCTTGGAGGCCCAGATTCTGAACTGAAGCTACAGTGTAGTGTAGGACTGCTGCCTCCCACGCCTACTCAGAATGGGTGTATCTGTGTTTTCCTTGGGCGAAAACCATCAGATCTCGTTTCCTTCTTCCTGAGGCCCTCCGCTTTCCAGATTTCCTACCAGGAATGTTGTCGAGCGTCTAAATTCTTCCTAGCAGGTCTCATTCCGAGAGGCACTGGTTTCATTATCTTTATGCTCTCAAACTCCACTCGCTCATCCGTGAGGAAGGTCAGGTTCAGAATCCCTCATTTAGACCTTTGGGCAGAGAACTGTTTTCCTGGAATTCTTTTCCTTGGCCTCCCAGCCTCCCTCCTCCCTCCAGACCAAGCCTTCACCCTCCTCGGTCACCTTTCTTGACACCCCATGCCACACGCGGCCTCGCCCCTAATTTTCTGTATTATCTGAAGTACCTGGGGCTGAGTGTCTTCTTAATGAAAGTAAACTTGAAAAAGCCCCACTCGGTGCTGGCGTATATGCATACCCCCTGCACCTGGCAGGAACTCTATGTCCAGGGCCCACCTCCACAGATGGTGGGGGTTCAGGACCTGTGAGCTGATGATGAATCGGTAATAACTAAACATGCAGAAACGAAGTCATGAAACATGATGTGCACATTGACGGTTTGTAGGAGAGGGAGCAGAGGGGTCATTTTCTTGGTGAATTTTCATCCTTTTCCCGGGACTTGTGTTGAGTCTCACGAGCTTGACTCGCATCAGGGCTAAGTGATGACGGTGTTTTATTGATGTTGGGGAGCAGGGGCGGGTCCGTGGCTTCAGTCCCTTCCTCCTTGCTGTCCTGCCCACCTTCTACCCTATCTTCCAGAAAGGGCTTCTGGGCTTCACATCTGAGAAATTCAGAGGGTGTTCCCAGCCTCTGCAGATGTGAAAAAACAGGGAAAGAAAAAGAAAGGCTGGAGTAAGGAAGGAAAAGAATTCATTCCGTTTTTGTTTTTTTTCCCTCCGAGAATGAGTGTGAGTTGCTGGGGTCTGGATTTGGGCTTCATTGCATCATGTCTTAAAGGGGATGCTGAAAAGATCGGCTGCCTCGCCCCTTCGGGGACAAAGGCTTTTCACTCGCCACCAGGTTGAACCCCCCTCCTGAGGCTGACTCAGCCTTCTTTGCCCCTGACGTCAAGGCCTCACGCTGGAAGCCTCTGTGGGTTGTCAGCACATTAGCCGTTTTAAAGGCGGCTGGGACAGTTCTGGGGATCCCTGCATTTAGATGTTCCAACCCGGTGTGTGGGAGGGCCACGTGCGCTTCAAGCTCCTCTTCCCGCAGAGGGTAAAGTCTGAGTCAGTCCTGTGCTGGCGGCTCTAATTTGCCAAGATGTGTGCAGTTAGGGGAAAGGCGTCCACTTCTCTGCGGAGGTTTATATATTCTCTGAGAACGTCAGGATCGTACCGTAAGTTTGAGAATAGGACCCATTCCCTTCTGGGTTTTATTAAGAAATCCCTGCTTTGGTCTCAGGGTCTCAGTGCTAAGCATCTTCCTGTGGTTAGCTCTCTTGGGTGCTTGGGCAGGCACTTTAGGAAAAACACATTTCCCATTGTTGACCCCTTTTCTGCCCTCAACACCCCCCCTAACCCCCCCTACCCCCCGCCCGCAGAACCTTTGTCAATTCCAAAGAATCACTTATTCCCCTTGCAGGCATTGACAGTGATCAGTGATTTCTGGTAGCAGAAGATGGCTTTGAAAGCAATGAATATTTTTTTATTTTTATTTTTATTTATTTATTACTGATTTTAGAGAGAGGAAGCGGGAGAGAGAATCATCAATTGGTTACCCCCTGCTTGCCCCGTACTGATGGGGATCAAGCTTGCAACCTGGGCATGTGCACTGACTGGGAATTCAACTGGTGACCTCTTTGTTCCCGGGTCGATGCTCAACCATTGCATCACCCTGGCTGGGATAAATAGACTATCTGTAATCCATTGTTTTTTCCTGCTTTGTCAAACATTAATTGACTATAAGGGTGTGGATTTATTCTTGGCTCACTGTAGTATTGGTCTTTCTCATTCACTGTTTAATTTCTGTTAGTTCTGGTCCTGTCTTGCCCCCAGGGGTGGGGGAGAAGCAGTTGTTGTGTGGGGACCAGGAGAGTGTAGCAGCACTTCGCACCCAGAACACAGCACAGCTCTGTGCCCCGAGTGTTGAGGCCGCAGTGGAGGGGGACCCGCACAGGACTCGGATGCCCACAGGGCTGTGTTTGTCGGGTGTCCCTTGGCTGACACTTGGCCAGGGGACACAGGATTCTTTTTCAAGAAGGTTCTGTGGAACTTTTGAAGCTAATCACCACTTTCTATCATGCCTGTCTGTTCAGCAGCATAATTAAGCGCTGGGCTCCTGGTGCCGACAGGCGATTGGATCTAGTTCGGAGAGCCAGGTTGTTTCCATGGCGCTGCCTTACCTGATGTGATCTTGGCCAGATCGCTAGATGTCCTGGCCTGGCCCTTATTTTTTGAGACTGAGGGAGAGACATCATTACACCTCATTTCACCCATTTCAAGGAATTTTTGAGGGCTCGCTGTGTGGGGGAGCCACCACAGGGAAGGAAACAATATGTTCCCAGTGAGAGCTTACTCGTGGGAGGTGCTAGAGGGGGAGAGAGAGCAAACAGTAAGGTGCACGTTCTTATAACTATGGTTATATTTTAGAAACCGATATTAGGCAGAATAAGATAAGGACTAGTACCTGAAAGTCATACAGAGAGACATAATAATAGTTCTTTCGGAGCTTGACAATAATCTGATAGCCTGGCCGGTGTGCTCAGCGGTTAGAGTGGGCCCATGCACCCAACAGTCGCCACTTCCATTCTGGTCAAGGACATGTACCTGGGTTGCAGGTTCTATCCCTGGCTCCAGTTGGGGCACATTTGGGAGGCAACCAATTGATGTCTCTCCCCCTCTCTCTCTCCCTCTCTCTCTTTCTCTCTCCCCAACTTTCTCCCTCCCCTTCCTTCCATTCTCTCTCAAAATCAATGGAAAAAAAATGTCCTCAGGTGAGGCTTAACAAAATAAAAATAAAATAAAATAAAATAAAATAAAATAGTGCTTTAAGATAAAAAAGAAAACAACACCATAAAAACCCCACAATAATTGTAGAAAGTAGACACAGTTGTTTGCATCATTTTACAGGTGGAAAAACCAAGGCTCAAAGAGGTTGAGCAACTTTCTTAAGATGACAAGACCACGTCGGGGCCTGGCTCTGGCTCTCATCACTAAGGTTGAGGAGAGACTTCTTCCTGCTGTTTCTTGAGGAGAACAGAATGGCAAGAGAAGAACACACAGGGTGCTGCATCTGGGGGTGCAGAGCACCCCTTTTGGGCTGGAGTTAGCAGACAGAGGTCAGGGACAGGTGAGGATAAAAAAGAAAACAACACCATAAAAACCCCACAATAATTGTAGAAAGTAGACACAGTTGTTTGCATCATTTTACAGGTGGAAAAACCAAGGCTCAAAGAGGTTGAGCAACTTTCTTAAGATGACAAGACCACGTCGGGGCCTGGCTCTGGCTCTCATCACTAAGGTTGAGGAGAGACTTCTTCCTGCTGTTTCTTGAGGAGAACAGAATGGCAAGAGAAGAACACACAGGGTGCTGCATCTGGGGGTGCAGAGCACCCCTTTTGGGCTGGAGTTAGCAGACAGAGGTCAGGGACAAGAGGTAGGAGAGCCTTGGGCTGCACCGTTGAGGACGTGGAGTGTGTGCTTCACTGGAGACTAAGTCAACCAGCGGTTTCTGCACAGGAGAATCAATGGAGGGGCGACTGTGCTCTGCGATGAGTGACATGTGGGAGCCGCAGTGGTGAGAGCGTCGCTGCAGTGATGGTGGCCAAGGCAAAACGGAGGAAAGAAGTGGCAGCTGACTTGCTTGAAAGGGGTGAGGTGGGGTCAAAGTTGACTCCA